CTTTCTCTCTCTCTCTCTCTCTCTCTCTCTCTCTCTCTCTCTCTCTCTCTCTACGTAGACTTTATTTTTTGGAACAGTTTAAGGTTCACAGCAAAACTGAGAAGAAGGTACAGAGATTTCCCATATACCCACTATGCCCACACATGCATAGCCTCCCCCATTGTCAACCTCCGCCACCCAGAGTACATGTTACAATGATGAGTCGACACTGACAAATTATTTTCACCCAAAGTCCACAGTTTACATTAAGGTTCACTCTTGATGTTGTACATTCCATGGTTTTGAATAAATTTATAACGACATGTATCTACTATTACAGGATCATACAAACTATTTTTATTGTATGGATTCACCCTAAGAATCTATTTATTCATCCTTCCCTCCCCCTAATTCCTGGCAACCACAGATCTTTTTACTGTCTCTATAGTTTTGCCTTTTCCAGGATGTCATATGGTTGGAATCATACAGTATGCAGCCTTTTCAGACTGGCTCCTTTCACTTAGTAATATGAATTTAAATTTCCTCCTTTTCTTTTCCTGGCTTAATAGCTCATTTCTTCTTAGCACTGAATAATGTTGCATTGTCTGAATGTACCACAGTTTATCCATTCACGTACTGAAGGACATCTTTGTTGCTTCCACGTCTGGACCATTACAAATAAGGTTGCTATATACATCTGTGTGCAGGTTTTCGTGTAGACATAAGTTTTCAACTCCTTTGGGTAGATACCAAGGAGCTAGATTGCTAGAATGTCTGATAAGAGTATGTTTAGTTTTTTGGGGTTTTTTTCTTTCAGCATTGGAATAGATTGCTCTGGTTAGGACTTCCAGTACTATGTTGAATAGAAGTGGCCTTGTTCCTGATCTTTGAGGAAAAGCTTTCAAATTTTTGCTGTTAAGTGTGTGTTACCTGTGGGCTTTTTGTATATGGCCTTTATTATATTGAAGTACTTTCTTTCTATTCCTAGTTTGTTGAGAGTTTTTATCATAAAAGGATGTTGAATTTTGTCAAACACTTCTGCATTTACTGAAAAGATCATGGATTTTATCCTTTATTCTATTTATGTAGATATCACATTAATTGATTTTCATACGTTGAACTGTCCTTGCATCCCAGGGATAAATACCACTTGGTTGTGGTGGATGATCCTTTTAATGTGCTGTTGAATTCAGTTTGTTAGTATTTTTTTGAGAATTTTTGCACCTATATTTATCAGGAATAATTGGCCTGTGGCTTTCTTTTCTTCTGGTGTTTTTGTCTAGCCCTTTGGTATTGGGGTAATGTGGGCCTCATAAAATGAATTAGAAGTTCCCTCCTCTTCAATTTTTTGGAAGAGTTTTTGAGAAGAATTGGCATTAATTCTTCTTTAGACATTTGACAGAATTCACCAGTTAAGCCATCTGGTCCTGGGCTTTTCTTTGTTGGGAAATTTTTTATTACTAATTTAATCTCCATACTAGTTATATGTTCAGACTTTCTATTTCTTCATGATTTAGTCTTGGTCGGTTGTATGTTTTGAGGAACTTATCCATTCTAGGTTATTCAGATTGTTGGTGTACAACTCTTAGATTTATTTTTATGTCTGTGGTATCAATTGTAAAGTTTCCTCTTTAATCTCTAATTTTACTTATTGGCTCATCTCTTTTTTTTCTTAGTTTAGCTAAGGGTTTGTTAATTTTGCTTATGTTTTCAACAAATCAATACTTTTTTGGTTGAAATTGATTTTTTTCCTATTTTCTATTTTCTATGTCTTTATTTCTGCTCTAATCTTTGTTACTTTCTTCCTTCTGATAATTTTGGGCTTAATTTGTTCTTTTTTCTAGCTCCTTTAGGTGTAAAGTTTGGTGTTTACTTGAGATCTTTCTTCTTTTTTTTTTTTTTTTATTTTGTCAATATACAATGTAGTTGATTATTGTGTCCCATCACCGA